ACTGATAGTACATGTATGTACAGTCTCAGTCTCTTGTAATATCTCAGTCTCTTCTTTCTGTTCTACTGGTACTATACAATACAATTTATTAATAATAATTATTAATAATAAGTATACCATTATGATCTTTAAGTAATGCCATTAATCTTTCATTCTCCAGTATCAATGCTTTCCTTTGTTCTAATTATAAGAAGAGGTCCGTAACTAGTAATTAATAATGTGTGTGGGTGTGCACATACTTTGAAATGTTTCACTTTCATTTTTAACCTTTTGAATTTCACTCTGTAATTCTATAAAAGTAAAACAATGTGTACATAGAAATCACAATGTATGTCACACACACACAAACTTGATTGAGTGATAGTGTATTCATTCTGAACTGATACTTGCTCTAATTCTTGTTGAAGATCATCAATCTTTATTTGTAGCTCCTCTTTCTCAATTTTCTCTTCTTTTAGTTCCTTCTCAAGTTCCTCCAGTTGTTTATGAGTAAGTTCGTTATCTATAGTACAATAATGGTTGGAGTATCAATCAACTTATTAATAACACTACATAACCTGATATTAATTCTTCATATTGTTCTGTCTTGTGTTTCAAGTCTCCAGTAACTTCCTCCTGTTGTTCAGTAAGTGTTGCTATTCTCTCTTCATTTTGAATGTGTTTCCTTTTCTGTTGAAGTATTTCTTCTTCATATTTCTTCATAGCTTGTTCATAAAATTGCTCCTTTTCTTCATAAAGCTCCTTTTCTTCCTCCAGTTGCTTTTGAATACTTTCAACTTTCTCCTGTAGCAACATAACTTGATCCTCATCCTTTTCTGTTGTTCCTATACTCAATAGTTACATTATGTATCATATTAATAATATTGATGTACCTGCTGGTACTTCAGTTGTTAGTGTGGTATCTTTACTTTGTACAGTAGGGCCCACATAAGTATTAGTGTATGATTCTGGTTTATTATCTTCCCACATGCTATCATCACTTCTAATGACATTTAATTCTATATGGTATGGTAATATAGCTAATGACAGTCTCTGTACATCTTTAATTACAGATTCTTCAGTATCTTTGTCAACGACAATCGTAACATGCTTAATTATCGATGATGCTTTTGAAAGCTCTTCTTCCAAAAATTGACCAACTTTCATTTTTAACTCCTCAACAGCTTCTTTATATTCCTTAATAACTGGCTTAGCCTCCTCAATATTGAACTCATTAACAAGAAACTTCAACATCCTAATATCATCAAGTGAACTGTGATCACGTACTAATTGTAGAATGTCACTGATATCATAATGCTGAGCTAACTGTGGCAATAATGTTTTGTCATATGCATGGCTCAGTACATATTTGATACTATAAAGGGATGGAGACTGAGGGTTGCTCTTTATGATTGATCCAAATTTGAGGAATGTCTGCCCAAACTTGAATTGTCTTAAACTTTGAAGTGATACTCCAAGGAAGATACATTTTGAGCCCTTCAATAAAATAATTATAATCTACATAATAAATAACTCTTACCATTCTCATCACCACTCCCATAAACCTCTTCTATACAACAATCATTAGTTACTGGTATATGTTATAATACATGTACTTACTGTAGTCTCTCATAATAGCTCTTCCTATCTCAGCAGTGGCTGTGTATTTACATAAAACATCAGCAAAAACTATAAGTTTTCTATGATCAATATATACAGCTGCCTTGATGTCACCCGGAAGTTCTTCATGTATATAATGGGGGACAATCATCTTTTGTGTCAGACCTGCTTTATACAATTCTATACCTAGCTGAGGTACATGTAATACAGACAGTAGAGTTTGGTTTGAGGAATAACGAGAAAGAATTCTACAAGCAGGATGAACTAAACAATAAAAAAATAAATAATACACTCATTTTTAATTACACTCACTCTCCATATCTATAATTCCATCAGCTACTCCCATAGGGGTAGGAACAAACTAAAAGTTGGGGGGGCTAAGGTATTATTTTTACAATTGATCATTAATACATAGCATGTACTGAAATTAATACTGTCCAAAATATTGGCGTCTATGCTCATTAAATGTAACAAATTCCTTTGCAATATCCACAATGTGTAAATCATGTGTATATTCTTTGTGTGTATGCAAAATAACTACATATTAAGACGCTCTTGTGACATTGTGGAGCGCAAGTAGTTTTTAATCTCCTTAACGTTGAAAATGTATGCTCAGCTGAAGCTGATGTTAACAGAGTTGTTAAATAAAGAAGTAGAAGCTTGTGTATTTCTGAAAAAAACTAATAAAAGTGTGTTCTTAGAAGTTAAACTAATGTATTAATAGTTTTATTAAACGAATCATCACACAATATGCACACATATAAGGATTACCTAAACTAAAGTCTATAGTGTTGATAATAGTAATACATGTACATCACTTAAAGTTGGAGGGGCTAAGCCCCCCTTCAGTGAAAGTTGGGGGGCTTAAGCCCCTCCTGCCCCCCCTGTTCCTACCCCTATGGCTACTCCATTCTCTCCTAATAGTATTTTCCTCAATGCTGATATCAATGAACTGATAGTAGGGCCACCTTTCTCCTGTACAGTATATTGTACTTTATCAGCTTTCTCTAACCATTTAGTAAGAATATCACGTAGACCACCATCAGTATTTCCTCTATTCTTCGATGTGATAGCATCTAATCTACGAAGAGATAGTCCAAGATAAAGACCAAAATTACGGTAAGCCTTGACTCCTGAGTAACCATGTCTTGTCAGTAATAATCATTTAGATCAGTAACTATGAAATCATATTAATAAAAGAAATAAACAATTAAATATACTTGTCAGTTGATTTTGAGGCACTACTGGTATAGAAGAAGAGAGAGAAGAACTCGGAGGAGGTGCAAACAAAGCGTCTAGAGACAGGAATGGATCCAATTAGTTATGTGGGTGGTTTTATTGGTAATACGCATGCGCATTACTCTCTCATGGACAAAAATCACAAAATGGCTGCCACCAACTGAGTGTTTTTCATATTTCTAGTGCTGTCTTTGTGGTTCCAGGCGTTTTTGCTAGTTGTTTGCATGAGTTGGATCACTGATTAGACTAATAGAACCTTGCACTAGGTAATTTATTCTCAGACTGCTATAATTATGCCTTTTTATATACTGTGACTATTGTAATCACCTATATATATATATATATAATGTATCTTCTAATTATTCTTGTGTGAGGAAATGGGCTTTTTAGTCTTTCCTGGGTTATCATTTGTTCCTTCCACCACAATTACTCATTTCAGAACTGTAAGTAATATGTCTGTCAATTTAAGCCTCATTGTGGGGAATATGAGGGATTTAATAGGAGGTTCATCACTCTGAGAATGCCCCAGGGTAGGGATTTTTCTCCAACAAGCCTATAGGAAGACTTTGCTAGTTTGACCAAGTTACGTTTCAAAAATGCTAAGTTTACCCAGCAGAGCTGAGTTCAGTAGCAGTTGAGTGGTTGTTTAACGTTCCTTAAATTTAGTAGGGGATTTGACTGAAGGGAACGGCTCCAGAGGTAGTGATTTAATTAATTAATTAATTTGAAACCCCAACTATGCCCCATTATGACCTGTACTGGGATAGTGGAGCTTGATATTGATAAGTACACGATAAATTTATTGTAAACGTCTGCTATTTTATATATTTATTTTTATAGGCATTTTATACCTTGCCAGCGAATTGGATCACAAGAGGTTGCTCATGAGTTTTTGCTTACATGTGTAGTAGGAGACTAGGAGCTCAAGTAGGTACAAGGTTGAGCTGTAAGCTGTGTATAATTATAGACCACTAGCAGTAAAAATTGATTACATAGGAAGATTATTAGAAATTTTTACGGTTGTAAGATGTGGTTTAGGATGAAATAAATTCAGCTGCTATTTTGGTTGACAACTTTTAATGGAGAACAAACGGGCTGGCATGAAAACAAACATGCATTGAGAATTCTGGGGCAAATTGGACCACATCTTTTGGAGAAGAAGCTTAAAGGCAGATCTTTTTTCTTATAACAAGCACATTTTAGCTTTTAATAGAGCTACAGCAGGTAAGTGAGGCATTTTCTTCTTGCATTCATTGCCGACTTCCTTAACAAACTTTCCAACGAAAATGACAGCCAATTATGACGTGGGCAGATACCGTATATAAAATTAATGAAATTCATTTCCAATTCTCACTTCCAGTGGTCTATAATTAGTTTTTAAGTCAGTATAGTTTTTAAATTCGTAAATTTTTTATTCATGCATTAAATAATGCAAGCAATGACATATTCCACTTTTACAGTACTTCTGACTATTAAAGCTGTTAGTTTTGTAGTTTTGAATTTACATGTATGCTATTTTTATGATAATTAGAATGTCACGAAAAGCTATCAGTATTGTTCATGGTGGTGGACGAAACTCTGGATGCTATATTTGGAGATGTTGGTACTTCATAGAATAATTATTCATGAAATGATTTATTTTATTATGCTACTAATGTTTAGAATTGTACCTAGAAATTTCTTTAATTGTAGCTAGAAATTACTGTCACCCAAAATTTCTTTGAATTTTGCAGATTTTATTTTAGCAAAATCACCATGCCTTTCAATGTGTACTGATTTTAAAGGATTAAATTTTCATAGTTTTCGAAATCTGCATAATTAGCAGAAATTTTGGGCCACAGAAATATCTAGCTCCATGTGTATGGCATTTGCAATGAAAGGTTTATTTTTAACTTCTTATCTCTGTTAAACAGATAGCATTTCCCCAAGGCTAGATATATTATCAACTCTTTATTTCCCTTGGCACTACTTAATGTGACACCAGTATATTTCCAGGTCAGTAAAAACTATTATTGCTGTATAAAATTTGTTTTCGTTATCTGTAGAATGATATTCCTGTCAAATTATTTTTAGAGATGAAAATAGGCTACAAAGTTCTTTGTATAAACATTAATGCAAAGTACATGTACTTTTTACATTTATTATTAATATTGCTTATTCCTTGTAGACTCAACAGAGTAACCTGAAATCAAATGTGTGGCTAAACAAGCATTTATTCATGTTTGAACTGTTTTTTTTTACATTTTTGTTTGAGTTATGAACATTATAAATTGAAGTACAATTTAGTCAGTACTGCGCATGTGCAGATTGCGCCCACGCAAATAATTGGATCCATTCCTGTCTTTAACGGCATGTGAAGCAAACTTAGAAGCCATTTTAATATTCTCAAGGCCGCCCTATGTACAGGTACAGGTAAGCGATGCTCACGTGATCTACCACCACACCATAATAAATCCGATGCCATCCATTGCAGCACAGAGTTTTTGATTATAATTATTGTGAAATAACTTAAAGAAATTCAAAAGAAACATATAAAATAATAAAAACACAATCTTCTTCTCATTGCTTGTTCAATTTTATATGACACTGTTCAGGTACTTCTCCATTAACTATACAAGATACTCTAATTATAATACTACTTTAATATAATAAACTTATAACACTGAGAGATTAGTTGAGCTATCCTCACAAAAGCAATATTTCTCTTGTTCATTACAATATTTAGAAACACCTCAAGCTGATCAGGACACACATCAACTACTGACATTATACAGTTAATAAAAGTATCAGCTCTTATAATGACTGGCACGTCTTGACATCAAATATTTTATCATATTCTGTTGAATGAATTATTGTGGCTGATTTACAAGCTACAGCTATGTCATGAAAAATGTCAATTTTCAGTCATGTTACGACTCTATATGTACTACAAGGTCTTTGGCCAAATTATGGAACAATTAAAAAGTTTTGTAAAAACTTTTATCTTCAACAAAAATATTAATCTTCAACAAGTATTAATCTTCAACAAAAATATTAATCTTCAACTTAATCTTCAACAAAAATATTAATCAAAAAAATAGAATAAAAAGGCTTTTTATTTCATTTTATTCCTTGTATTTGTCCATTAGTGTATCAGCTAGTGCAATAGTTCTCAAAGTGTCTTCCTCTCTCAGTATATCTATGAATATACCAAACACTTTTCCATTCATACGAATAGAACTCAAAATGATGTGAAGCAATTCATCCATTTTTTCATCGTCAGTTTCTCTAGCAGTTATTTTCCTTTTCTCTCTTGAATTTACAATTTTGTGTTCCAGCAACTTGTCAACTAAAAAGTTGATATCAATCCCACAGTCCTTTATTGATGAAGTACATTCTGTCATTACACTATGAGCAATATCAGATCTAAATTTACCTATTAATGTGTTATTATAATAATCAGTTACTATTACTAACTAACTAACCGCTTGGAGTAGGAGGAGGAGGAGCTAAAGGAGGTGATCTCTTGATATTAACAGGATCTGTTTAAGAGAATATAAAACAATACATTATGCTGTGTAATTATTATATGTTACCTGATGATGAAATATTTCTCAGTGATCTGTTAATAATAATCTTCGTTTGCTCCTGTACACCTTTCAATGGTACAGAATAACTCAAGTTAGGTACAGTATGGGGACTATTCTCAGCATATATTGATACCAGGCAAGATGGAGGAATTGTAGTACTAATGTCACCAAAACCAAGTATTTCATGCTCTTTAATCTATCAAAATAAAATTAACTAATTGTCCTGCAGATGAAATAAATTACTTGACAAGGCATCAAATGTGGTTTTATTCTCCATCCAGTTGTTGGTTCTGTTTGTTGCTCATCATTAAATATTAATTCAATACATCTTTTTGGTGACTGAAGTTTAAAAGTGATGTTTTGATCAAACTCTGTATGAGAATATTCCTTTTTAATATACTAATAAATTAATAAAAATAATAAAAAAATTGAAAATAATTTAATATACATCTTACCTG